TTATATTTCAAGTTAAATTTATTTTTATTTAAGTTATTTATTTATTTTATTTAAATCAATATTTAAATTTACATATTTGTATATTTACATACCTTTATATGTGTAAATGAATCATAGAAATGTGTTAATACCCCTTCTAGTACAAATTTTCACATAAATGGTACACGAGTAGAATTAGAATTTTTCCGTTTTTCCATAAAATCACTGTTTTCCTTTGCCCAGATAATAGACACTCTTTTTGTTCCTCAATCTATTCTGTTAAACTTGCTCTTGATGTATTTTAACAAAAATTCCTTTTTTTAAACATTAAAAGTTCCTATTAATCTTTGCTTCTTGTTGAAATGTGTTCTAAAAACACAATGTTTTATTTCCTTTGACAGTAGTCGATTTTACCTTTCTCAAATTTAGGTCTCAAATTAGGAATAGTAGAACTGTTAAGACATATTTTTATGTATAATCTATTTCCGGGTCCTGGAAAGGCCCCTGGGTAACACGCTTGCTCCTCTCTTTTCCTCAAAGAAATGGAACAAGAATAGTAAAAATAATCAAGTTTGTTTGTCAGCCTCAAAATTTGGTTATTTCACAAAAAGGTGAGAACCTTTTGTTTACCAAACTTAAGCTAAAAGAAAAGAACTGATAAATCTAGAAGAAAGTATCTTCCTAAGTTTATTAACATATAAGTTAAATAATATAATGTAAATATGTTACGATGATTGTGTGCTTTTCAGATTAAAGAAGGGTACTCATGTTTAAGCACCAAGACTTGAATAATAATTATTTATTAAAAGATTTTTGCTACTAGGATTCTAGACTTAAATACTCGTTAATTGAGGACACTTGGAGTGATATTAAAGTCCTCATACAGTATCTCTCTTCTTCACATTTCACTATCCACCTCTGTAACACGCTGAACCCCAGTGCACCATCTTACTCCATCTAAAAAAAGAAATTCTCTGAATGTTTTCATCTCTGTTAGAAAATTATCTATGCTTTGCACAGGCCTTTTGTAAATCCACCTGGATAATCCTGATTCAATTTTCTTTTGTAATGGTTTACACTTAAAAACAAGAACTTGAAATTATCAGGCAGGCTATACAATTACAGATTTAAGTTCAATCTCGCAACGTGAACCTCTGCTCAAATTTAAATCAGTCAGTATGACTAAGCTAATTATCCTCACTTGGGCTTTCCAGGTAAAAAGAGATGAAGATCAACATTTGAACAAATAATAATGTTCCAGTGTGCTTGGTCGTTGTTTGTGTATTTTGAGAACTAACTTGCATTGAGAATGTTATTAAATACTTTTGTAAGGCTTTACCTTTTACTCAAAAGCTTCATTGTTCCCATCCTCAATCTTCAGTGAAAAATAGAACAAATGGAATTCAAAAACTAAAAACTGGCAAAGCTCTCAGAGCCTCTAGAACTTCCATGGCCTAAGGTATTGCCATAAGCCTTGATATAGACTCTCTATATGGGTTACTAACAGGCCACCCCACGCATTCAGGGTACTTCCCTATGTGAACAGATATGACTGGATACAATTAGTCTTATCATTAAACAGGTACAAACAGTTTTTCTAAAATAATCCATCAAGCACATCCCTTCATAACTTGAACATGGAAATTTAGTCTTCTCAAAGAACACCATAAAAAATCCATCCTTACCGTTTGAAAGAAAGGACATGACTAGGTATTGTAACAACCAGCATAGCATGAAAACTCCAAAAGTATTGGTCCTTGGATCCACGTTTGCCAATAAGGAGACATATACCATCTTCTCTTGATCACCAGATATCATCTTCTCCTGACCACTGAATGTCCATTCCATTGGGACACTTTAAATTGAGGATTCTTTTTTTTTTTTTTTTTTGTGAGGAAGATCAGCCCTGAGCTAACATCCATGCCAATCCTCCTCTTTTTGCTGAGGAAGACTGGCCCTGGGCTAATATCTGTGCATATCTTCCTCCACTTTATGTGGGACGCCACACAGCATGGCCTGACAAGCAATGCCTTGGTGTGCACCGGGGATCCAAACCCGGGCTGCCAGCAGCGGAGCTCGCGCACTTAACTGCTATGCCACGGGGCCAGCCCCTAAGTTGAGGATTCTTAAGCGTCCTCTAAAAACAGACAGTTGCATGGAGTAGAAAACTTTCACCCAAGATGATAGAACAAAATTAATTTTCTGATTCCCCATCTTCTTATTTCTTTCCATTTCTTCTTCTCTAATCTTGTCTATTATTGTATTTTAACACCCCATATTGACTGAATGATTTCTCAACAATCTTCCGTAAGGGAGCTGTTCTTCGCCTTTTCCCTGTTGACACCCTATGGTCATTTATTACTCAAGGAAAAACAAAATTTTCTTGTGCATTTTCTTCATACCAGAGCTACCACTTTTATTTTTGGTGAGGAAGATTAGCCTTGAGCTAATATCTGTTGCCAATCTTCCTCTTTCTGCTGAGGAAGATTGGCCCTGGATTAACATCCGTGCCCATCTTCCTCTACTTTATATGGGATGTCTGCCACAGCATAGCTTGATAAGCAGTACATATGTCTGCACCCGAGATCTGAACCTGCGGACCCCGGGCCGCCGAAACAGAGCAAGTGAACTTAACCACTATGCCATCGGGCAGGCCCCCAGAGCTACTACTGTGAATTAACTGATTTGCAAGTCTACCACCCGCCATCTGTTCCTGTTGTCAAGCATCTAACAGCTGTTCCCTTTAAAACATGCATTCTCAACAGGGCTGATATCACTCTCAAGGGGGCAAAAATCAGTTCTTATGGGTTGAAAATGTCTTACTCTTTTTATGTATAAGCATGGTTATAAATACAGTGCATAAACAGGTATACAGTGTATCTGTATCTATGGTATTAAGATTTTTTGGGTATGGCAAATAGAAACAAAATACCTAAAAAGTCTCCTTAGGAGACAAAATTGAAAAAAGATTGAGAAACACTGCTAAAATATTTCAGAATGCAGATATTCTTTTACAGGTCTTGTACGGTACTTAAATTACCCTTAGATTATTAATTCCAATCTTTAATCTTATACGAATTGGATCTTGACAGCACCCCCCCCCCCAACAAAATACTTCTATTGAGGTCATTGTATCCTTATCAGCTAAACCTAGCTCATCAGGAGTGAGTATAATTTCAGAACTATCATTGTTAGAATAGTCTGTCTTCTGTTCTCTCAGAAACACTCTAGCCTGCTTTGCAGGAATTGTGTAATTCTACTCCGAAAATCTGACCACCTTAATGACCCAGTGATTGATTTGCTCCAATGAAAATGAAGGATACTTATACTACCAAGAGGGACTGTGCCCTTCTAGGGTGCCACTGCATATGTGGACATCACTTCTGCTCTTAAAACCCAACAAAGCATTTTTAAGTCCATTTTTAGCATAGCCTATGATTTCCTCTTAAGGAACTCCCGAGGGGGTGTTTGTGTGATAGCAAACACTTCTTTCTGTACCTCATAAATGTTAACAGTCAAGTAAACAGTCCATGACTAAGCTAAAAGAAAAAGCCACTTGGCTCTCTGAGACAGACCTAGAAGGGATGTGTTTTAATGGTCTGGGTTTAGTTATCTAGGTCCCTGGCTTCTTGGTCTGTTTCAAGGGCTAAAACAATTTTGTTGTCTGTGTTGCAGTTGGCTGTTTGCATTCTATCCAAAGTCTTAGGTGCTATTGCACAGCCATTATCACATCACATGATTCAACAACTTGTCTTGTAACAATAGCAGCATGAAGAACTAACTCTAGGCCAACTACAAACAACATTTTCTCAAAAATCTCCTGATTCACAGAATTTCAACAATGGTGAAGATCTGGATATCACAGATTCATGTCCTATGACTTGAATTAATCTGCCTTTAACCAAAAACAGGGGATTAAGATAGAAAAAAGCATCCCTCAGAGCTCTTAGCCGGTGTGCCCTGCCAAACATAATAATCTCACAGAATACAAACATTACACAAGGTCACCTTGGGACCATGATAGAGTGAGACAAAAATGAGGCCACTCGTAAATCATATCTAAGCACAGACAAAAATCAGAACACTGTGCAAACTACAAAAATAACCAAATATCCCTCTCTTCCAGCTGACATAAGTGATAGCATCTTCTTTCCCAATTACAACTTAAGTCTTGCTATGTTTTTCCTGCCTCCTGTATTAAAACTATTAAGAAAACTTCAGCAACTATACAGGGTTATACAAGTGAAAGGAATCAAAACCTCCAAAATTATACTTAAATGACATTTTAATAAAGACAAAAGATCTGATACCATACGAGAAAGAAAGCACAGGCAAATATCAGGAAGATCCTAGACATCCATGCACATCTTCCAAAGTCCTCTTCCAATCACACAGGACGTGCTCTGTCTTTGGAACATGAACCATCAAGTTGTGTGTGCAATAGTTCAGCCTCAGGGAAACCAAGGCACAAGTTTATTGAGGGATATTTTATCTCACACTGGTCACATTGCCAAAGCCTGTTAAAGCCGGTATAGAACATTAATTTATATTTTCAATAAAAAATGTAATCAAGCTGATATAGGTCACACACATGTGCTTTTTTTGCACATTAAACATCACATTATAAATCATTACCTAGTGCATTCATTCCTGTCTTGCCTATGTTTTGTCAATGCAAATAATCCATAATCAATCAATAAATCAAAATTGGGGTCAGTTTGTTATGAGCCAAATTTGAGGACCATGTAGCCTGGGGCCTTCCTTTCCCAAGGAAGGAAGGGCACCAAAGAAGTGGGGTGTACAGAGTGGTTATATACCATCAAAGAGCATGTATCACATATGATTGCAATGTCCCTTTTACAATAGTCATGAGATTGTCCTGTTGGCACAGTGACTGATGGACACAGCAGTTATCAGGTCTGCCATGTCAATGGGCACAGCAGGTAGCAGGTTTGTTGTCTCAAATTAGGTGCAGCAATCAAATCCTAGCCTAGGGAGAAATGCTTATCCTTAAGGACATGCCAGTGTAGGGGAAGTTGCATCCTTATCTTAAGGGCATTTGTTCTTGTCTTTGGGACATGGTAAATGCTTAAAACAGATATATAATGCATATTCAAAGGCCACATCAGGCCCTTTTGGAAAAACAAGGTCATGTTGAATTAATTTTACACCAAATGACTTCCTCATATACTCCAATGTGTCCTATTGCTTGCCATTTATTTATCGGTTTTCAGGTGCTCCTGGAGATAATTGTGGAGCTACCACAGAACAGCTGCAAGTTAGCCCTACCCCTCTACAGTACTCAATAACCAAATTGCTCAGTGAACCAAAATGCTGGTTTCTGACAGCATCCAACCCAGAGCAAGCCTCACTTTATTGAACCTTCCCCCAAATCTCCTAGCACAAAGCCAAATCCTGGAACAAGCACTTCCTAATACCTTGCTACTGAAATGCTCCACTGTGTAGGTTAAAGTTGCCTTATAACTGAACTGGATCAGAAAAGCTATAGCCTTATCTCTGGGGACTCTGGCTGACTGCTTTTGACTCTTGGCAAAGATAAGAGTAGTGGAATTTATAATGTGCTGTTTAAAGTTTGAAACTCACATGGCTACCCCCAGGGCCAGTTTGTTGGCTCATGGTTTTCAACTGGCACAACCAGTTAGGCAGCCTGACTTGAATGTGACCAATGGGGAATAAAAACCCAGAGAGGAAATTCTGTCTTGAGCTTTTCCAGAGCTATAATTCAGTAGATATATCTTGGTAGTTTAATTTGAAGACAGAACACGGACCATGTGTGAATAAGAATCCTGGGGAGATTGCCCTTGGAAGTCTCCAGGATCCCAAATGTTGGTCTGCATCCTCTTTTTCTTGTTGCACTGCCTCTGTGGCCTTTAGATAAAGACCTTACAGGAGTATGCTCTGTGGAGCCTTAAGATTGCTTTCAAGAGAGCCTAGAAATAAGCTCATGCATATACGGTCAATTAATTTATGACAAAGGAACCAAGAATATACAATGGGAAAAAGACATTCTCTCCAATAAATGGCATTGGGAAAACTGAACAGTCAAATGCAAAAGAATGAAACTGGACCACTGTCTTATACCATACACAAAAATTAACTCAAAAGGGATTAAAGAATTGAATGTAAGAACTGAAACCATAAAACTCCTAGAAGAAAAGGTTGGTGGTAAGCTCCTGTACATTGGTCTTGGTGATGATTTTTTGGGTTTGACTCCAAAAGCAAAGGCAAAAATAAACAAATGGGACTACACCAAACTAAAGAGCTTCTGTGCAGCAAAGGAAACCATCAAAGTGAAAAGGCAACCTACTCAATGGGAGAAAATATTTGCAAATCATATATTGGATAAGTGGTTAATATCTAAAATATATAAAGAACTCATACAACTCAATAGAATAAAAAACAATCTAATTAAAAGATGGTCAGAGGATCTGAATAGATATTTTTCTAAAGAAGACAAACAGATGGCCAACAGACATGTGAAAAGATGCTCACCATTACTAATCACCCAGGGAAATGCAGATCAAAACCATAAAGAGATATCACCTCACATCTGTCAGAATGGCTATCATCAAAAAGAAAAGAGATAAATCCTGGCAAAGATATGGAGAAAAGGGAACCTTTGTGCACTGTTGGTGGGAATGTAAACTAGTGCAGCCAGTATGGAAAACAGTATGGAGGTTCCTCAAGAAATTAAAAATAGACCTATCCTATGATCCAACAATTCCACCTCTGTGTATTTATCTGAAGAAAATGAAAACACTAACCAGAAAAGATATATGCACCCCTCATGTTTATTGTAGTATTATTATAATAGCAAAGATATGGAAACAATCTAAGTGTCCATTGATGGATGACTGGATAAAGAAAATATGGTGCATATATATAATGGATTATTATTCAGCCACAAAAAAGAAATGAAATCTTGCCATTCGCAACAACATGAATGGAACATGGGGGCATTATGCTAAGTGAAATAAGTCAGACAGAGAAAGACAAATACCATATGATCTCACTTATTTGTGGCATCTAAAAAACAAAAACTAAACAAAAACAAGCTCATAGATACAGAGAACAGATTGATTGCTAGAGGCAGGGCGTGGGGGCTGGGCATAATGGGTGAAAGAAACCAAAGGTTATAAACTTACTGTTATAAAAGAAATAAGGCATGGGGATGTACAGCATGGTGACTATGGTTAATAATACCATATTGCATATTTGGAAAGTTGCTAAGAGAGTAAATCTTAACAGTTCTCATCGCAAGAGAAGAAAAAATTTCTGTAACTATGTATGCTGACAGATGTTAACTAGACTTATTATGGTGATTATTTCACAACATATGCAAATATCAAATCATGTACACTTGAAACTAATATAATGTATGTCAATTATATCTCAATAAAAAAATAAATAAATTTAAAAATAAATAAATAAATAAGATTACTTTCAAACATCCAATCTGGCAAAAACCTTGCACCCATGGATTCCTGTGGTGTGTGGTATCCTTTGTTATAGCAAACAAAAACCCAGCTGTAACTCAGATCTGTTCTTGTTGGTCTTAGGCTGGCAGGCATCAGTGAGGGAAATCAAGGTAGAAATCTCAGCACCAAAGTAGATAGACATAATTTATATCAGTAGAAAATAAAATATCTGTTACTCTCTACTTGTTGAACAAAAGATTTGGAAAGAAAACAGATGGAACCATAGTATATGGCTATGTTTAGGAGGGTACATTAATGTGTCATTGCATGTATAAAAGAAGTCTTGGGGACAGGGCTAGAGAGAACGGAATTGTTCTGCATTTTAAAAAAAGACTTTTTACAAATTTTTTTTCTTTCTTTTTTGTCTTTTCCCTGAAGGACAGTAAAATAGGATGGCTAGAAAGGGTGCACCACATAGTAGCTAAAGGCTAGAGACTAAGTCTAAATGTAGCCAAAGGACTATTTGCTTCCAGAACCCTCAAAATATAAAGCAGAATAAAAAAACAAACAAAAAACTTGCATAAGTCCTGGAAACTAGAAAGAGTGTCTTCCATGCATATACGTACGAGATATAGTATGGAAAGGTAAAAAATAAGTAATGCAAAGGGGACAGATCTTGCTTGATCTGATGGTCTCTATTTAGAAGAGCAGTGGACCCAAGTGATGTGTTCAAAAGACTCTCCCATGATCCCACCAAAATTGCTTTATTTTTAGGATAAAGAGTAGACTGGCAAACAAACGCAGAGAAGTTGGGAAGGTCTTTGGATTTAGCCCACAAACTGAAAATCAGCATGTAGTTAATGCTCTCTCCTAAGAGAGATTGATGCCTATTAAATTGCCTTTTTATTTTAAGGAAAGGAAGGAGGATAGACGTGGGAGTGTAGGGTGGGGACAAGCAGATAGGCATACAAATCTACTCCCTAGAAAGAGAACCAGGCTGGTAACTACTTTCATGCAATAATAAATTGTAGAAAACTACAAGGGAACACTTGTAAAGTTTTTTGTTTGTTTGTTTTTAAAGATTTTGACCTAAGAATACTATACTCAACAAAATTATCAAATTATTAATAGACTTAAGAAATTATACCACATAACATCCTTCCTGAAAAAAAAAAATCTCCATTTGACACACTTCTTCCTCCTTGATACCCTTTCTTCACTTACCTAGCAGGGCAATGCTCATGGGTGTCTTATCCATAGTCTTCTTTGTTGATCCCTCAACTTCTCCTCAATTTTGAAATGTTGGGGTGCCACCAGGGCTAAGTCCTGGGCCTCTTCTCTTCTCTATCAACATTCCCTTTCTCAATGATCCCATTTAGTTCCATAACTTTATATGCAAATGACCCCCATATTTTTTTTCGTGAGGAAGATTGGCCCTGAGCTAGTGTCTGTTGCCAATTGTCCTCCTTGAGAAAGATTAGCCCTGAGCTACCATCTGTGCCCATCTTCCTCTATTTTGTACGTGTGATGCTGCCACAGCATGGCTTGATGAGTGGTGCGTAGGTCTGTGTCCCCAGGCCACTGAAGCAGAGAGTGTGAACTTAACCACTATGTGACCCGGCCGACCCCTATAACCCCCATATTTCTAACTGCAGCCCAGAGCTCTCTCTCTTAACCCCAAGCTTGTGTATTGAGTTACATGCTAGGAATCTTTAGTTGTATATCTGATGGATGTCTTGATCTCCCTTGTCCAAAATAGAACTCTTACTCTACCCACAAACCTGCCTTACCCAAAGCCTTCCCCCATTTCCCTTGAGAACAAATCTCCCTTTTGCTTGCTCAGGCCATAAAATCTAGGGTCATTCTCAACTGTCCTTTATCTCTCACATCCCACACCAACCTGTCAGCAAATCAGGTGAATTTCACCTTCAAAATATACCCGGAATCCAAGCACCTCTGACCACCCCCAGGGCTATCATACTGCTCTGAGCCACCATCATCTCCTTCCTATACCTCTATAATTCCCTCCTAATCTGTCTCTGTGCTTCTGACTTTACCCTCCATAGTCTTTTGTCAATACAGAAACCAAACTGACCCCCTAAAACTAAAATGTAAGCCAGATCAAGACTTTACTCTGCTCAAAACCCTGTAATGACTTCCCATCTCCCACAGAGACAACGCCGAAGTCCTTACAATGACCTGGGGTTATTACATGATCTCACCCTGTTCTCTCACTGTGGCTTCATTTACTCAGCTCCAGCCACTCTCACTTTCTGCTGTTCCTGGAACACGACAGCTGTACTTTTGTTTTTCCTTGGCTCTTCCTTCTCCCTGGATCCCTCTTTCACTGTGGTATTCTATTGCCTCTTATCTCCTTGATATTCTGTTGGCTAAATCTCTCACTCCCTTTAAGACTTTGCTCAATGTATCTGACCTTGACCATGGTATTTAACACAGCAGTCTACACCACCAACATCCTTCACCTTCCCTTACCTTTTTTCCTTCCTTAGTATTTGTTACTTTTTACACATTTACTTATTTTTATTGTTTATTGTTAATCTGACCATTAGAGAATATAGACTCTAACAGCTCTGAG